TCTCTCCCTCCCTCCCTCAGAAGGGTGAAGCTTTTTTAGCCCTGTCGATATGTATTCTCATGGTAGTGGAACCATTCACCACCGCACTTCCTAATCGGCGCCATCAAATCTCTCAAAATTTGTGAACAAGCCAAAAGCTTGCTTATCCTATAAAAAAGTCAAATAAAAACGCGTTATTTAGAACTGCTATAACTTTGACATTTATTTTGGAGATACTTCAAACTTCGATCAATTGGGATGATATGATACGCGTTATCACGTTCGGAAACCTTGGAATGTCACTGGCCGAACATCAAAGAAACCGCCAAGAACACCGTTTGATTACTCAGCCTCTGGAATTTCGGGGAAAAATCAATACAATCTGAATTTCTGCAGCTACCCCTCTATCGATTATTTAGTAAGGGTATTGACAGTCCTGCTCGTGCTAGTGGAGAAATGCCAGCTAACTATTATGTATCAGCATCCTCAGCACTCCCAGCTCGTTAATGAGACACTAGCCAAGCTTCACGGATCGGTGGTTCGCGAATGTAAAAGGCTAGTAATTCTACGACTCCTGTGCGGTTTCGCATGGGTTATGGGTTATATGAACGAGTCATTTTGGCATGAGGTTAGCAGAGATTTCTCGTAACCCAAATTTGTGGATTCTCGTAGATTCTAACCTATTTCAGTTCCTTCAGTGAGCTGAATTTAAAAAATTAAGCTCGCTGCAGAACCCATGAAATAGCCATCAATGACCCTTCGTTTTCCCTTTGAGCTGCGACGCTTTTCTGCTTATTCCGCTTTCCTTTTGTTACTCCCCTAGTTTAAACAGAGCACATCAGCAGCTATAAAAAGCACTCCAATAATTCTTCGATGACTTTTCTAACAGCATGAAAAAGGAAACCACCAAGCCACAGAAAACTCTTTAAAATGACCTTGACCGATGAAACGATCTTGTCCATTGAATCGAGCAGCAGTAGAAATGTTACTAAAAATACTGCTTATATGCCTTCCCGCTTTCAGTCCTTTTGTTCATCACCTGCTAATGACCAAACAATCAGATGCTATTATTCACTTATTTGTTTCATTATTTATTTATTTATTTATTTATGACTAAGAAACTATCCCTATGCAATCCATATCACTTGAGAATCCATGTCATTCCTTCGGCCACGTACCGTAATCGTCGGCGACCGCGGTTGGCCGTTGAGCGGCATTTGTTATCTCATTACTCTAATCCCTTGAGCAAAGTTCGTTAAGGTGTTCGCGGTGGAGAAAAGGCCTCTAGTGGGCAGCCACTAATCCGGTGGCCACGCTTTCTGAGCAATTCTTGATCGTACTCAATCACTCTTTGGCAACAATCATGCATCATTCCCTTATTATCAGGACGAGCGGCCTGCGCCATCTGTGGTGTGAACACAACCAACTGAGGTGAATCCACTAACACACTTTAGCGATCAACGACCACCTACGTACCGTAATCGCTTACACTTTTGTCTGGGCCATGATCTATGATGAAGTAAATCATCGTATAACTTCGTATAATGTAATGGCAGAGAAAACTGGAATTACGGTTGCTAATCTCACTACACTCTGTTGCGACTACAGTATCCCCAAATCACTCACTGAGGCAGGTTCAATCTGAGTTACTTGGGTAAAGTTTTTCGTTTGTTGTTGAGAGCACGTTTTCACCAAGGCACCGATACCACTGTTTGAAGAACAGCCTTTCAATTTCGAATTTCATTTCAAAAAAGGTTAATTAAATTTTAAATCAATAAATTGTGCCTTATTAGGCCGCCCGCACACGCATCATTACGAACTACATCAATCACAGACCTATCACCAAAGAGATAATTGGTAGGAAGCGGGAAACAGGTAAAAGTAGCTATGGTTAAGATCTCCTCTCGGTGAAAGCGCACAAGATATGCAACGACTTTTGGATCAAGAAGCACTTTCTGGGTTGGTTTATGCCTCTTTAGCAACTTCTACAGAGAGCGAGCCTCTATTTATATCTATTGCTATACATAGTATGTTAGTTATGGTAGAAGAACTTTTAAAGGTTCAAATAAATTGGTAACGCGCAAGGAAAAGTTATCTCTCTACTGGCTGCATCATTAACCAGGATTATCTTTCAACTTCCAATGGAACTTTAATTGAGACCAAGGTAATCAATAGAGTCTGAAAGGCTGGTTAAAGACGTGAAGAGCATAACTGCTACGCAAATCTGAAAAGGAAATTATGGATGGCCAAATGTGGTTGTGCTGCGTTGGCATGATAATATTCAGTTGAAGCCTCCTTCCAAAGAGTACCGAGTCGCGATTACGAATATGACATCTACTCTTGGCCCTGACGCCATCTTGCACCAATTTGGAAGCGTCCATATGAACGCAAAAATTTTGCGCTGACGGGGAATCGTACCCTGGAACAATTGATCGCTAACAACTTCCTTGAAAAGTTTACGTAGCAGTTTTGATCTTGATATTTATACTCAGCATCCGGGCTCTATTTTGACCTAAGTCCCACTTCAAAATTCCATGGGAAGGTAAAAGTCTCCCTAGTACGCTCCAGAATATCAGTGACTCAGTAGTCTATCCGCGTTTGAGAACTGATGAGTCATTGGAAAGCGACTGATAAAAAGGAGACCATAGAAAAGTAGCGGAAAAATACAATATGCAGAAATGTCTTGGTGACCTTATTTTCAAACGAATTCTTACAAAAACAGCTTTGGAAGAAATTATTTGTAGGATCTGATGCCTTGAAGTTTTGTTGGAAGTAAAGCAGCTTTATCGGGAGAGAGGTTTTATATCGGAAAGTTCTTAGGATCTATCCCCCACATACAGCGCTAAGAAGACGACTGGTGTCGATTAAAATAAACGAAAGTGGAAAGAACCGAATTGGAGGCATGAAGTAGCCGGCAGTTTTCATGGACCTTCCTCCTGTCGGTCAGGGAAGCGGCCATACAACTACCTTGGAAAAGAACAGAATGATCAGCTTCCCTATCTGGCTGACCGAATCCTTCTGAAGCAATTTCTCTTCACAATTACTTCTAGATGAGGTCGCCCTTCCCGGGGATCTTTCCTTTCCGTTCTGGCCGCTTCCTGTTACTATAACTTTGATCGATATCAATCAATTGAGTCTAAAGACCATAAAAATGTATGTTTGTATGGGGGTGCATAATTTACAACCATTTGCAGTGTGTACGTCGGCAACATCAAAGCATCGCGACGGGTGAATTCCTATCAGTGTGGCCCACAAGAGCGTCGGACGGAGCCGCTGCCACACAGAGGCAGCACAAGCAGCAGCTAGATAACACACACATGATCACGCCTCAAAATTGACTTATGCACAGTTCTTTTTTTCAAATCCATATCGACGATTTTCCCGCTGAAAACATCTACATGGCTCACTTCGGGCTGTCGACAAGCCACCGCGCACTAACCAGCTATCACCACCTAATCATCAAGAAATTCTGTTCCTCAGGCATTTTCGGACCCGCTTATCTTCAAGCGCTTATTATAGCACACTGATATTTCCTGCCATGTATACGCACGTATGTAATCGCGGCCCCGTCTACCGTATCCCAGAAGAGATATCGATTCGTTTTCGTGATAAGCTATCAATTTCCAGTGTGTACATGACGATGCGCGCGTGATCAGCGTGTTAGCACTCAACCATCCTAATATTATTGCAAGAGTGGTAATAAATTTTCACCGCAGCATCGTTGGACAAAGCAGGAACTTCCCTGAATGGCCAAAACTGGCCAACAGAGCAACTAAAAGGTAAAGGAGGGGAATCTCAGAGCTGCGAATCATCGAAGAGCAAACCCGAGTCAATTAAGTGTAGCTGATTCCTAACTATTCTGCGTTAACGGTCGATATCGATTCTAAGCGTTGTTCGCTGTTAATTCGAAGGAGCGGGAGCTATTTGCTCTGAACAAATCTCGGTGTTTTTTATTTGTAAACACATGTCTTTGATGGTGCCGCTCTGCAAAGGTTTTTCATAGTACACGGGGTGAAATGTGGTACGATTTGAAGTAAGTTAGAGCTGCTATTATTCCGTGCGGAGACGCTTTTCAATGGATCCAATTAGATGTTCATTTATTGCTTAATTGCCAAGATCCCAATCAATTATCGACCGTTTTTTGGAAATCCTCTCATGAGATTTGGTGAAAGAGACGGTATTTCGAAATTCTAAAAAGCCTTCTTTCTCCTCATCAGAGAAATCGAGCAAATTCATCTAGAAAAAGGGTTCCCTTGAAGGTAAATAGTTGTGAATCTGAATCAAAATTACGAAATTCCTGAAATCTCCCTGAAGCTTCAGAAATTTTTTTCCACCACCAAAAATGTTCTGACCGATGTCTTTCAAATCTTTTCAAACGCAACTTCTCACCCAATAGTATCCTCAAAGATTTGAATTTACAAACACGACACTTTTTAATAGTTGGCGAAATGGACGATGACTTCATTCTCAGGGCGCTCTCGTCCATTTCAGCTCCGAAATTTCGATTTTCCGTGAAATGCTGCGAAACTTATGGCTTTCAAAAACGAACCTTCTGCGTGTTCAGTGTAAAACGTCCTAACTCTCAAGTATTGAATTTTCAAAGGCCATTCCCTCAGAAGTTTTCCGCAGGACAACACCTAACTACTAGTCTCTCAAAGCAGCGGAGCCCTCACACGCTGGGTGCTTTCTCATTCCTTTTTGTTTGTTTCTACTTATCTTTAGCTCTTTTACTAAAGATCGATTTCCCATCCTTATTCAGGCTATGTTTTTCAGCTTATGCGCTATACATTGGAGCGATAAAGTCCACAGCTGAACCAAGATAACTTTTCAATCTTTTCTGAGCAATAAACGGAGCCCGCGCTACGCTCGCATATTAAACCTGACTAACTGGTACACATTTAGATCGGCCACAACACATCGTGAATACACTATAAAAATATAATTTGTGTTCACCACTCGAAGATTCAAGATGCTGACAGGCAACTCTTTCTTGGACCCCAAGGCACCCAAATATTTCCAAAATGCTTCTGGTGTCTTCGAAAGCCTTTACGGTTGATGAATTCCCACCGTCTCCATCATTAACCCCCATCGAGCGGCGGTCGGTGCTTTCACCCAAGAACAATGAACTGATTGCCGGTGAGGAGTTTTTTCGACACTTCTAAGAACTAAGACGGCGGCAACCTTTTCGTGTTCATTATTCGTCGCCGCGGTCTCGTGTAACACGTACGCACATCGATGCTTTTCAGGGGGGGGGGAATGTGGGATGTCGCTTTTAGGAATTAGTCAAATCTGGTAGTTATAGTGACGATTAGAGTTTTTAAACCGTCCAGCTCTTTCTGACAGCTGGCGGTGACGTCATGCTCTAAACTTTCATTAGGAAATGGTGCACTAACTTGAATTATTGGTAGCATTGTTCCGCTCTAGGCATTGAAGAACTTGGAAGGTTAACACTTACATTAACCTGTTACCGAAGCGACTAGTAGATGAACCCAAAAGGTTAGAGGTCATGATATATATCCAGGCAAAGTTAGGTTGCTCCTTGTGAGAAAAATATAAGGTATATGTGTGAAGCTTTCCATAAACACTTGCTTCTCGTTATCTACTCGTGATCGTCTACTCCAACAGCTACTCTAACTGTGTGTTTGACCAGCTACACAGGTCCTCGAGGGCCACGCGCCTTCGCCTTTAGCTCTCTTAGTTCTCATTATGCTTCGTGTGAAGGCTGTTTCGATAGGAATGCCTCAGCTTTGAGCGGCCTGATCCCTTGAACCCACTACAGCAGGCTAAAGAATTCATTTTTTGCTCACAATTGTACCCTTTGAAGATTCTGTTGTCCACCAGTATCTAAGAGACAGCAGTTATGTCGTAGCTGGCTCGACAGCAATGTCAAGAACTCCAAATAGTCCGACCCTTGCGATTATACTTCTGCAGTTTTGCGTATTGATTCCCTGGTTCACATACATATCTTACAGTAATACCGCTTTCCCACCTTGATCCTGATATGATTCCACCGAATTGACTTCTTTGCTCAATTTTTATATTCAACTAATTGAATACAATATTTATCATCATTTTGAAGCCTATTTCTGCATGGGAGGACTCTAAAAGCCTTACGTGACCAATATCGACGTCTTACTCACCACTACTATCGCAGTGACTCCTTATTGGTACGATGCTCTTCCGTTCCTCATTTTCTTTCCGAATTTCTCCCTTGTTTCTTGTGTTTTTCGCATTCTGATACTTTTGTAAGGTACGGTAGCATATTTTTCTGCCTTCTAACGTCACACAGTACATGGAACGATTGCCAGTTTTTTTTGTACTGTATGACAACTTTTATGCCGAAGAGTTTAGTGAGTGAGAGTCTGTTAATAACCTGTCGGCAGATGACGAATGATCATTTCACTCCTTTGTTTTTATTTTTATTTGCTAACTGTTCCTGGCGCTGACAATGTGATATTCCAGTGATATCAAAATGGTTAAGATAGAACAACATGTAGAAGTAAAACACTGTAATAAATTAGCAGTTCCGGACGAAGTACCAATGCATGGCGCATGCTAAATTGCTCGAAGCGGATCAAAACTAGCTTCTAACCCTTTTATTTTAGAAATGAGACAACCGTTTGCTGTTTTTCCGCTCTGAAAAAGGCAATCGTGTATACTCTACAG